CAAGTACTCTTTAGAAAATCGCGTCCACTGGACTTCCATTAGACCACGTTGAGATGTTAATGTTTTCATCGAAAATGGGAACGTGGCTGCTACTACCGGTCGGTGTGCCTCTACGTAATTCCCATCATTTGTCTAAAAGTCGAAGCTTAAATTCCATGTCCGTTAACTTACTGCGATGCTGAGATCAATTAGGTTGCTCTGTTTCCTTAATAAGCAAAATTTGTGGCACAGAGATGAAACCACGCTCTCGTCGGAATAGCTTACCGTCTCCATCATTTGCTAAAGAATTGTAATGTAAGGTAAGGGTGCGACGAAGTGGCTCTTATGCTTAACCCAAGACGCGTGGGATTGAATGAATGCCCGCGAAGGTGTCGTGCTTTGCGTTGATAGGCCACTGAACAGCCTTGAAAGAGGGCAACAGACAGGGTGTGGTGCGTGAAAGATGAGCGTATCTGTGCAAACCGATTAGCGGTAATTAGTTTTGTGTTTTGCTTTGAACTAAATATAATGCTTAGGTTATCGTTTTAACTGTTCGTCTCAGTTGCGCAGGCATTTAGAGTTGGGCCTTTGCAATTCTGCTGTGCAGCATGGCCTTCGAGTAATGCCAGTTTACCCAGTCCCCTCTGTAACCGGGTACTCTTCTTTTGGCACCCCAAAACCCGTTTAAACATCATTGGAGCCAGCATCGAAATTGGATGCTTCGTGATGGGCATTTAGGTGATGAAGGGAGAGCAACAGCTGTGGATGTAAGAATTAGCGATGATCCTTAATAAAATAGTTGTAAATGACCCTCGGGTAATGCTCCTGCTCAGGGTTCTGCAGGAAAGCCCTTAACAACTTGAATCTGTAGCTAACTAAGAAATGTTTGGTGCTGACCTGTATACACTGTATGCATGAAGGCGTCCCTTAGTTGAAGCGCAAACACACGCATGAATTCTCTGAATGAACGCTTAAAGATGCTTGTGCTATATCATCTTTCCTGACAATTCGACTCATTAAATCTCCGCTAATAATGCCCTCTTGACTTTCTTCCCTCATTCGCCTACCTTACAAATTTCTTGTAGGCTTTAACCTGACTTCTCTGTAATTCGTTGGTTTAAGCTTGTTCCCACGATTTACTTTATATCTTTCTGAGTTTGCTTTTAGGCTTTTATCCACCTTTCAAACAATAAAACTGACATTCTTTCCCCTCATGAACTTATATGTGATGGGTAATTCTCCACTTCATTATGCAAAATGGCTTTCAGTCTTACGTTTAACCAATGTAGAAGAAAGTACGACTGCTTTACTCCTATAAACTTAACTTCGGGTGCACACACCCAGTTGTGAATAAATGTATGAAATGAATTTTAGTCTGCACAGATACGGAATTTTTTAATTGCGCAATCTATCTCTGCACCAGTTGGGGCGTTGCCTTCAACCTGACAGTAATGTTAAACTCAATCCACGTCTGCCAACTGGTGGGTCACTTGTAGTCGATGTGGTGGATGCAAGTATCCATGAAGGTGATTGTTGTGCTCGAAGTGATTCACTTGAGATGTGAGTGCGCTTGCAGAGAATGTGAAATTCAATTAGTGTCACCCAACCGCTGGAGAAGTGTGGTGGCTGCCTACAAAGTAAGAGAATGACGGGAGACAAATATCGACGCAAATGGAGAGAGTAGTCAAATTAGAGGTGTGCAACTCCTATGTGTGGGCTCCTATGCACCAGCGGCACTGAGCAAT